CTTAGAATCAAGGCCAAAGCAAACAGCAATAAAATGAAGACAGTAATTTCATACAAATGATCTTTTTACACAATGTATGAACTAAAAGTCTTTATTTACAGACAAATAGAAAAACTTCATGTATGAAAAAATACACACTGAGGATTTTCTGAGACTTCCCAGGACAAATCCATATTGAGTAAATAATATGAATGTGCCAAGTGAAAATGACGGCTATAAACCTATCATAAGAAAAGCAAATTTCAGTGACCTAACTATGGCTAAAGAGTAATGCCCAGCTCATTATTCTAATAGGTTAGTCCAGTCTAAAGGATACAAGCTCAGCTATCTGCCTGCCTTCTAGGCCACTTTTCAAAATTCCTTTCATTCTTAATAGAAAATGTTATTTTGTTTAAAGAGCTCAGTAGTGGGAGTTTCTAATAAAAAGTTTGAAAGGAACAAATTTATTCATCCAGGCTTTTTTTAAAAACCCACCCATTACTTAGCATGAAAAATACTAAAATAGTATTATATATCAGTGTTACTTATATATAATATTTATTTTATGGAATACCCAAAGAGAGAAGCTTCTGCATGATAGCCCAGTGTAAAAGGAAAAAAAAAAGGATCAATTTAATCTTGGATCTGGTACCACACCCAAGATATCCTGCCAAGATAGCCCCAGAAATGAAAGAATAAGTAACACAATCATCATCATAAAGTTAAAAGGTGAGTTATATATTCCCAGGCTACTCTGAAAGGACAAGAGACTTGCAACAAAAGAACACATAATATGATATTCCTTTCCAGGTTAAGCCAAGAGACCAAAAGTGGAATATAAGTATATCCCTAAAAATCCTTAACACAGCTGTGAAATCTCAATGTACACTCACTGAATTACAGAAAACTAGTACAGGAATTTGTCATGTAATTGATTAACTGAGAGCCCTGAAGTTGTTGTGGGCTTTTGTTTTCTTTCTTGGTTTAAGGTTGGGAGGCAGGGATAGGATGGAAAAGGGAAGAAATCAATTATTAACCTTCAAGATGTGGTCAAATGATTGCTATGACTTTTGAGCCTTTTTAGAGCCATTTAAACTTAGATGGGATTGTACAAGTACCTCCTTTTTTTTTCTGTGGTGGCCCTGAAACTCCAGTGTAAGTAGCAAAATGAAACAACAGATAGATGTTATGAGTGCATAGCTACGCTTGCCAGGAACCCAAATTGCGTTAATAGCACATTACACATGAGTTATCTACTGATATGCACACTTCATTTGAATGTATTTTGTTTCAGGGTGTTTAAACTCAATAACCAGCACTTAGGAAAAGTGAAACTCTCCATGCAATTAAAGGAGATATTTACAGTATACCACTTTGAAACTCTTTGAACATCTGAATGACATAATCTTAAACTAAATTCTGTGTTGAAGCTAAATCCATGTTAAGCTGAAAAGAAAATCTTAAAGTTCCTGAAGAAAACTGGAATTATTTTTATGATCCTTGTATTAAGGTATCATGTTCCATGCAGAGCTATACACCAGCCACCCACAATGAGATGTGTTCAAGATACTCTTTCAGCCTGCACATTGAATGTCCCGGGGTTTGTGGGTTTTGTGCCATAACCTTGTTACATGAAGTTATTTCTTTATTTCTTTCCATTTCAATATGCTATAAATCTACCTGCCACTTTTTGGAACTCCTTTAAGTTTCACAGAAGGAAACAATACTCCAAGTTTGTTTCTATTGGCTCTGGTCTGCACTTCCAACAGTGAGTTTAAATGACTAGTCGTTGCAAAGTGGGCTATCGAGAAAGAATATATCCTTACCTCAGCAATAAATATACCCCTACCTTAGTAATAAAAATACTCTATTTTCTTCATCCCTTCCCCCACTCTCAATGTATTCTTGCTGTCAGATGGCCTCCCCTGATCAAACTTTTAAGAAATGCTCGACTGTTTCTCCAAATGCATATGAAGGCCATCAAGCATCTAAGTGCAGAGCATGTCTGCTTCATTCCAGGTGTCTCCCATCTGATGCTTATCCAGCAGTGACCACCATAATAAAACAAGAGGAACCTCTGCCTGGCTTTCATCCTAATCATTCTCTAAAGAGCTCAGTGAAAACTTGGATTCAGAATGTGAAAGCCGTTACTATTTAGGGAGAAGGATTAAATAGGAGGCAGTTTGAAAAAGAGCAATGAACACCGCAGCTCGGGACATCAAATACAACAGAGCTTCATTTCCTCAGACACACAGAAACTGTCATTCGTTTTTTTATTTTGTCTTGCATAGAAAACATTATCTTTCATTGCTAATACTTTCAAGCCAAAAACACTAGTATGCAGATAGAGATCCAGATACTATTTTATTTTTTGTTTTTTGGTCTGGGAGGAGAGAGAGACTAGCTAAGCTACTTGTTCCAAAGAACAGATGAGCACTTGGAGGACATCCATGAATCGATACAACTCTCATTTCCTGGGGTCAATCACTCTAGACAACAGAAAGGTAGCAAATGGCACACTGTAACCGCTGTGATAGAGTCAGGCACTTTAAATTACAGCAAGTCCACAGTTGTGGCAAATACCACTGGATTCTGAGCCACCATAAAAATTGGGGGCAAGTTCCAAAAATGTATTAAGAATCAGAGGCAGTGCTATTTTCACTTCCCTATTCTCATTCTTGAGCAGCTCAATGTTGAGGAAAGAGTTGAAAGAATTGAAGCAAGGAAACAACGTAAAGTGGAAAGCTGTATGTGGGACAAATACAGTACTTATACTTATCCAGTGGCTTTCCAAGATTATTCTGCTAGAGATTTCTTACCTGCCTTCCAAGTAAGCCCTGAAGTGCCAAATTACAGTTTTAGATAGTTCTCTACCTCCCAAAATATGGCAAACCCCTAAAATATCATCACTTTAATATGACTAAAGATACAACTTTTTAAATGACTTCCAGTGATTCTTTTACATATCCACTTAACTCTTAAGTCTGGATGACTTCCAAATTCCTTTCCTCACCCAACTTTCTGAGGGAGATATCAACTACAACAAAACAAAAGGAAATGTGGCTGGCACTGTACAAGCTTTCAGTGCTTTCAAACCAACTGGTATCAATACATAAAAGTACATAACATTGACCAGCCATAAATGGAACTATACAGGCAATATGGCTGAAGAAGATTCGGTATAACAAGGGTCACACTAACAGGATGATGACTGAGTAGGTGGATGTAAGGCAATTTCAAACAACTTGCCAAAGGAAAGCCTCATTTTTCCATTTTCTTGTACAGTATCTAATTTCTGGCTCCTCATTTCCTCCATGATCTGATAATTATGAAATTCTAAATAAAGTGTCATCTTTCTTGCAACAAATCAATGAACAGAAAGCTCTCATCAACAATGCAAATGTTTCCCTAGAGCTCCTGCTGATTATTTCCTGAATGTCTTATCCCACAAACCACACAGCAAGTTGAGAACAGGAACTCTCTCTACCCCATAATAAACACAGCTTCTATGTGTGCATTTGTGTGTGTAGGCATTTACAAAGAGGACTAAGAAGTAATATGCAACTGATAACATAAATCACCACAAAAATCACTTTTTATTCCTTCTGTTACCAATTTCAAATGAAACTTAAACTTTTCTAAATGTTATGGTACAAGTATGGGAAATGAGAATTCCTCCTCATTGTATATTTGTCCATACAGACGCAGTAAAATTGTTTCTGCACTCCTTATCACAGATTTATACCAATAGCTCCACCATATACACAATTACATTTTGGGCATCCTTCTCCCTATAAAACAATTTAAAATAATTCCACCTTTATCCCTCATGTTATCCTTACAATAATCCTATAATACAAAAGTCACCTTGTGAAAATAAAAAAATCTGGGTTAACAACTAAGCCTTCAGGTATACAACTAAGCCTAAATTTACCTACTATAAAAGTAATGCTATGGAGAGGTCTGTTTTGAACACTATTCCAGCCTACCAAAAATTACAGATATCCTCACTTCTGCAAAAAGCTCCCATCTTCTGCATTCTGTTTGTTTCAATTATTTAGGGCAACCCAGGCTGATAATTACATAGTCCCCAGTTGCGGAGTAAAAGTGATGCTTAATTAGCCAGCAGGAAAGATCGATTAAGATCCAGCAGGGCATCTTGTGGGGTTATTTCTCACATTCCTGGAGGGAAGAGATTCTGGCTGTGCCCTTCCAAAGGATAAAATCCCCTGTTTTATGGAGTTTCAATGAGGTTTCGAAAGTAAAAGCTAAGATTGGTCAGCCACACAAATTAAATCCAGTCATAACCTTGCACATGCTCCCTCTTTTATTCTAAGAGTAACCAGTTCAATCATTTTGAACCACACTGCCACTGAGATGGAAAAGGCTTAAAATAACACTCACTTATTCCCAACTCTCATTCAGTTACTATATTTCAAGCAGAGAGGTGGTCAGGAGAAACACTAGGAAGGAAAATTTGTATTTCTTTCCCTCCCAAGCAAGTGTAAACATATCAGATGCTCACATCCTAAAAGGCACAGATTAGAGTCAGGACCTCTTATTAAAGAAACTCACTGAGCAAGATATTCCAACCCAGTCTGGGACTAAAACATTCCACTATCGTCAAAGAATCAACTAGAAAAGTCTGTTTTGAGTTTTCTATTAGGGAAGGAGATGTGAAAGTAAAATGAGGACACGAGGACCCCAAATCATAACAAACATTAATTATCTGAATTGCCTAACATCTTCCTTTCAGTAATTTGGATAAAAACCAACACAACAACCTAAAGCTAACAGCAGAATAATTATTAAGATACATAATTATCAAAATATTTCCACTTCTGTAAATTATACTACCGCTACCTGCCTCCAACTCAGTTCAGTTAATATTTATCAAGCTTCTACCAAGTCTCAAGAGCGATGACAAGTATGTCTTACCTTGTTAGTTTGTACACTATTACAGTGATTATAAGTTGTTTTAAAGCTTATGAAGAAGAAAACTGGAACTAATTCATACAAACCTAGCTCTTATTTGCTGAAAGCCTCGTAGAATATGGTCCCTGTTGTCCCTTGCACCAGCACTGAGGTTCTCGTTCCTTAAGCCCTCCGCCAAGAACTCCTCAGCATCTACAAGAAAAGAAAAGTTGATAAACAGAAAATAACAAGTACTAAGGGAGAAAGATGAAAATATGATGGATTAAGAAATGGGTATTATTTTCTGTTTAAAAACTTTAAAGTTGCAGAACAATGTGAATGTACTTCATGCCACAGAACTGTATTCTTAATACTGGTTAAAACAGTAATATTTTATGTTATGTATTTTACCAGAATAAAAACTAAATAAACCTTATATTTGCCGGTGACACCTTCTGATAATCCAAGACCTTGCTATGAATTTAAAAAGCTAATACATATATTAACCACAAGATATAACTATTTTCTAAACTATTTCAGAGAAACATTTAAATATTAATTATCACTGATGGCAGAGGATGAACTGTCAATGCCATAAACATATAAATATTACTAACAAGTCATAGAAGGTCACAGGCCAACAGAAGCAAGAAGGAAATACCAATAAATAGAGCTGAAATGAAAAATAGAGCTGAAGTGCAAAATCAAGAACAAAAAGGGCAGGGATTCAAAGAAGAATTAATCAGCAGATGGATCATCAATGAAAATGGCAATGGACCAAGGGAGGGAACCCACATGGAAAAGAAAAATGTGTCCAAGAAAAGGAAACTGCAATTAATGTGACCATATATTACAAAGTAGGGACATGATAGAAATATATATATGAAACAAATCATGATATATTGAAAGAAATTGGTGGTGGTAGGGAACACCCACAAATTTTCAAAGACAAATACACCTACAATGATTACAATTGCCAGAAATACTAGCAATACTGTTCGTGGAAATGTAAATTAGCTCAACCACTGTGGAAAGCAATATGGAGGTTCCTCAAAAAACTAAAAATAGAAATACCATTTGACCCAGGAATTACACTCCTAGGAATTTACACGAAGAAAACAAGATCCAAGATTCAAAAAGACATAGGCACCCCTATGTTTATTGCAGCACTGTTTGCAATAGCCAAGAAATGGAAGCACCTAAGTGTCCATCAGTAGATGAATGTATAAAGAAGATGTGGTACATGTACCCAATGGAATATTATTCAGCCATAAGAAGAAAACAAATTCTACCATTTGCAACAAAATGATGGAGCTAGAGGGAATTACACTCAATGAAATAAGCCAGGCGGAGAAAGACAAGTACCAAATGATTTCACTCATTTGTGGAGTATAACAGCAAAACAAAACTGAAGGAAGAAAACAGCAGCAGACCCACAGACTCCAAGAAGGGACTAGCAGTTACCAAAGGGAAGGGGGTGGGGAGGGAGGGAGAAAGAGATTGAGGGGCATTATGATTAACACACATAATGTAGGGGGGACCTACATTATGGGGAAGGCAGTATAGAACAGAGAAGATAAGTAGTGACTTTATGGCATCCTACTATGCTGAAGGACAGTGACTACAATGGAGTTCGGGGGAGACTCAATATGGTGAATGTAGTAACAACAGTGTTGCTTATGTGAAACCTTCATAAGATTGTATATCAATAATACCTTAATAAATAAATTTTCTAAAAAAGAGTCAATGCAATACCTATAAAAGTCACAGATTGTTTTTTACAGAAATTAACAAGCTGATCCTAAAATTCATTTGGAAATTCAAGGGACCCAGATTAGCCAAAACAATTTTGAAAAAGAAGAACAAATTTGGAGGATTCACATTCTCTGATTCCAAAACTTATAATAAAGCTATAGTAATCAAGACAATATGATACCGGCATAAAGATAGACACATAGATCAGAGGAACACTGAGAATTTAGAAATATCCCTCACCTTTATAATTAATACATTTTTTAAAAGGATGTCAAAACAATTCAGTGGGAAAAATACTTTTTTTTCAGCAAGTGGTGCTGGAACAACTGAATGTCTGTATGCAAAAGAATGAAGTTGGACCCTTACCTCACACAATAAACAAAAATTGACTCAAAATGGATGAAAGACTTAAATATAAAAGCTAAAACTATATAACTTTTAGAAGAAAACAGGCCTAAACCCTTGTGACCTTGGATTAGGTAATAGTTTCTTAGATATGATGCCAAAAGAACAAGCAACAAAGAAAAAATAAACAGGACATCAAAAATTAAAAACAATTGTGTTCAAAGAAGGCCATCAAGAAAGTGAAAAGACAACCCACAGAAGGGGAAAATTATATAGCTTATAAAAGACTTAGAGGTAGAATATATGAAGAACTCTTACAATTCAATAATAAAAAGACAACCCAATTTAAAAATGACCGAAGGATCTGAATAAACAGTTATATATCCAAAGAGGTTATACAAATGATCAACAAACACATGAAAAAAAATGCTCAAAATCAATTGTCATCAGGAAAATGCAAATCAAAACCACAATTAGATCCACTTCACACCCACTAACTAGTATGGCTACTGTCAAAAAGACAGACAACAGTGAGTGTTATTGAAGATGTAGAGAAATTGGGACATTCATACATTTGGTGTGCATGTAAAATGGTGCCACCACTTTGTAAAACAGTATGGCAGCTCCTTAAAAGGTTTCACAGAGAGTTACCATATGACCTTGCAATTCCACTACTAGATAAATACCCAAGAGAAATGAAAACAAACCAAATCTTGTACACAAATGTTTATAGCAGCATTCTTCTTAATAGTCAGTATGTGGAAACAATGCAAATGTCCATTAACTGATGAATGGATAAATACAATGTAGTATATTTACACAATGGAATATTATTCAGTAAAAAGAAATGAAATGCTGATCCATGCTACAGTATGGATGGTTCTCTGATATCATTATGCTAAGCAAAAGAAACCAGTCAGAAGGACCACATATTGTACAATACGCTTACATGAAGTGGGCAGAATAGGCAAATCTATACAAACAAAAAATAGGTTAGTGGATGCCTAGGGCTGGGGGAGGGAAGGGGATTGGGGGGTGAAGGCTAAGCAGTTTAAGTAATGATTGTGTAGAGTCAGCACAACTCTGACTATACTAAGAGCCACTGAACTGTATACTTTAAATGGGTGGGTTGTATGGTATACAAATTGTATCTTAATGAAGCTATTAGATAGATAGATAGATAGATAGATAGATAGATAGATAGATAGATAGATAGATAAACATCTACACATATCTTTCTGAACTTTCATAATTCAAGGAAAATAAAAATCCTTCAAGCACCCAAACAGAAAAAATAAGCTGCCTACAAAACTAGAGTCAAAATGGCCTCTCCACTAAATAAGCATCAGAAGGTGAAAGTTTTACAGAGTTTTAAAGGAAAAATACTGTGCTCAAGAATTCTAAACATGGACAAGCTGTTGGTTACACAGAAGACCAGAAAAATTTTTTAAAAAGCTGTGGCTCTGAGACCTGAATGTAAGCCATGAAACCATAAACCTCTTAGAGAAAAACATGGGCAAAAATCTCTTGGACATGAACACGAGCGACTTCTGCATGAACATACCTCCCCGGGCAAGGGCAAGGGAAACAGACGCAAAAATGAACAAGGGGGACGAAACCAAGCTGAAAAGCCTCTGTTCTAAGGAGTTCTCCTGCACTATGGGAGAGTATATTCATAAAGGACAGATCCGATCAAGGGGTGACATCCAAAATACATAAAGAGCTCACACACCTCAACAAACAAAAAGTGAACAATCCAATTAAAAAGATGCTCCACATCACTAGTCATCAGAGAAATGCAAATTAAAACCACAATGAGATATCACCTCACACCAGTAAGGATTGCCACCATCCAAAAGACAAACAACAACAAATGTTAGCGAGGTTGTAGAGAAAGGGGAACCCTCCTACACTGCTGGTGGGAATGTAAATTAGTTCAACCATTGTGGAAAGCAGTATGGAGGTTCCTCAAAAAGCTCAAAATAGAAATACCATTTGACCCAGGAATTCCACTTCTAGGAATTTACCCTAAGAATGCAGCAGCCCAATTTGAAAAAGAGAGATGCACCCCTATGTTTATCACAGTACTATTTACAATAGCCAAGAAATGGAAGCAACCTAAGTGTCCATCAGTAGATGAATGGATAAAGAAGATGTGGTACATATATACAATGGAATAATTCAGCCATAAGAAGAAAACATCTTACCATTTGCAACAACATGGATGGAGCTAGAGGGTATTATGCTCACTGAAATAAGCCAGGTGGAGAAAGACAAGTACCAAATGATTTCACTCATCTGTGGAGTATAAGAACAAAGAAAAACTGAAGGAACAAAACAGCAGCACAATCACAGAACCCAAGAATGAACTAACAGTTACCAAAGAGAAAGGGACTGGGGAGGATGGGTGGGAAGGGAGGGAGAAGTGGGGGGAAGAAGAAAGGGGGCCTTACAATTAGCATGTATAATGTAGGGGAGGCACGGGGAGGGCTGTGCAACACAGAGAAGACAAGTAGTGATTTTACAGCATCTCACTACGCTGATGGACAGTGACTAATGGGGTATGTAGGGGGGACTTGGTGAAGGGGGGAGTCTAGTAAACATAATGTTCCTCATGTAATTGTAGATTAATGATACAAAAAAAAAAAAAAGCTGTGGCTCTGAATGACTACCACCTACATTTTTTTCTGAAGAAAACCTATTCAAGAATACACTCTGATTAACAGAGAAAAAGAGGTGGTAATGAGATTAAAAACAGCAAAATAAGTTAAATCTAAATAACCATGGTATGGTTTAAAACGTATAAAAAATATAATACTAATTCTTAATTAAGAAGAGACTCAGTATAAACAAATAAAATAGTCACCTGAATCCCAGTTAGGAAAGTAATAGAGAAAAAGAAAAACTGTTAAATTCCTCATTTATATAGGGCCAATGGATAATATTTCATCCTTGGCAGTAATAATTGAAGAAATGGTTTTAGCTCTGATTTTTCAAAATGCTAATGTAATAAAAGTACAATAAAAGGTTTTTCCAAATATTCAATATAAAATAAAGAGAAACAAGGTAGCATAAAAAAATAAAACTCATAAGATGATATATCACTGATGACA